CCCAAATTCTTCCAGTCAAGTCCTGCAGGATGGACAAACAAACAAGTTCTTTCATAACCCATTATGGAGAAAGCAACAGAGCGGTTTCAGCTGGTGGGGGTGCTAGGAATCCTGGTACACGACCACAGAAGCTGAAGTTCTGACTTGGATCTGCATATTGCACTATGACATGCATTCACAGTCGTGAGGCCTGAGTTTCTATTGCAGTGTGGATGGTCAAGCATGGGCCACAAGCCCAAGCCCCACAGACTCAGGCTTAGTGTGTTGTGTAGACATATCTCTGGTTTACCATCCCTGATTTTTTTCAAAAAGTGTTGTGGATTATTTAAAAGTTGATTTTTTTTTTTAAAAAAAGCTTTGCGCTACTAACAAATATTTCTCCTGATGTGCTTGATCCAAAATCTGCATTGGGTCACTTCCATTGACTGCACTGGGCTTTGGATTAGGCCCTATGTGTGAGCTCTCTGATCCCAAAATGTTTCTTTTAACTTAGCCAGACAACAGTTATATGAACCAGTGTATTTTAGAAAACAAATACTATCTAAGAGAATATACCTTTTTTATACTTTGTAATCAAATGCTTTAGTTTATTCTCTTTGAAACGGGCATATTCTTTGGAGGAAAGGATCTGGGAATCTACACGCTTGGCATTTCATTTTTGAAAACCGCAGTATCCATTCCTAAATTACAGCTAATAACAAAACTGTCTCCAGTTGTATCCATTAAGCAATTTTTATATCCTTTCCTTCTTTTTGTTCAGATCTCCATTTTCCTCCAACTTATTTCCTTATCTTTCTATCCAGTTTTCATTTTAACACCTTTTTCTCATTAAATCCTACTCCCTTGTGCATACCCCTCCTCATTCCCTTGTTTCATATTTTCGGAGGGCTTTGATGCTAAAATGGTAGCCATGACAAAATGCCCATGTACAATGAACATTGCACATGCGATGGAGTTAAATCTCTACAACTTCTTTATGGGATGTTTCACATAGCAATTGTATTTTCCTCATCTATGAGAAGTATATTTAACAAGCATTCGGATATAAGTGCATTTCATCAAGAACTTTTCCACAGGGAAAAGCTGTCTCAAACTGCCCCAGTCCTTCCTTTCATAGTCTCACCCAAAAAGGGAGAGATCAGAGACATTTCATTAAATATTTTTAAGGAACCCTTAATGAAGAACTTTAATGCACCATGGGCTTACAAAGAACACAGATTTTAAGAACACATAGCTCATATATTTCTGTTCATTCAGTGAACACATTTCCAGCAAAAGCCTTCTGTACAGGGGCTCCCAATAAGAAGTTAAAACATGTCACAGTTCCTACAGATTTCAACTCCTCTGTCTACTCTAAAGGTCCATTTACACTTGGATACTGACCATTACTAACATGTTATCAGCAACAGATTTTACCTTGAACCATGCTGACAATAGTTTGACTGCTACTGTAGATGGGGCAACAACATTTTAGCAATGTTACCAAAAGCTTGTTACATCACTGTTCCATCATACTTTCTTCAATAATGCTGAAAATAGTTTTGTCCCATGCACACTATCCACTTCAACACCAGTTCAGAAGGAACCTGTTGATGACAATGGTTGCCAAGAATGGGTCAATGTCCTCGTGTAGATGTGGCTCCACAGAGTCCTGGGCTATACAGCCAAATACAGATGGGCCACCTGAGTGGGCACAGCCTGAGCACAGCATGGCCACCTACTTCTTAGAGAGAGTTCAAACATAGTATACTCCCAAAATTTATACTGTAGGGAAAATAACACCACCTCAGTCACTGAGATGTACTTTGAGTTTCCTCCCATATTGGAAATGAGACTTTTTCAGTATGGTATAGTTTCCTCACTAGTCCACTGTGACATTACTGACATAACCTGTGATCGTATAGACATAACCTGTGATCATTGCAACCACTGTTATATATTTGCAGCAAATATTGTACAAAGGTTGTTGTGTAATGTGTCTATGGAAAGGTTATGATTTGCTGATTATGATAATGCTATCTGTATGTGCGTATCATTTTTGTAGTTGAAGTTATGAATATTGGCTATGTACTTGTATCTTAATATGTTTTGATTCTAAGTAGTCTCAGTGAAGCATTTGGTCAGCTTCTTGAGAAGGGATTATTCTCAGTAAGTGCCCAATCAAGAAACACTTAACTGACAATACACTTTGGGAGATGCCAATCCACATCTGAGCTTTCCTGGGAATGTTCAAACTAACATGTAAACAATGGCGTCGGCCTGTAAAGAACTGAGTCATGCACGGACATGTGACTTGCCCATGTGACTCCAAACTCCATCTTCCTGTGATCTTGCATGGGAGAACCAAGGGGTTTCCGCCCCCAAGAGAAAGAATATAAAAGGCCATGGAAACGCCTCCATTTTGTCTTCAGTCCTGCTTCTTGCCTCTGGAGGAACTTGGCTACAAACTGAAGCTCTGAACAAAGAACTGAATGACCCATCCCAGCTGTGGATGTATTAAATTTGACTTGATTTGAACCTGCAGTTTATTCCAACATTGCTACAAGCCTGAACCAAGAATTTTGCCATTACTGTATGTAATTGATTCCATTAATCCAATTCTAGCTCTCATCAATATTTCTTTTTTTTTATGCATAAACCTTTAGATTTTATTTTCTAAAGGATTGGCAACAGTGTAATTTGTGGGTAAGATCTGACTTGTATATTGACCTGGATCTGGGGCTTGGCTCTTTGGGATCAGGAGAACCTCTTTTTCTTTTACTGGGATATTGGTTTTCATAATCATTCATCCATATACTGAGTGGCGCTGGTGGTGATACTGGGAAACTGGAGTGTCTAAGGGAATTGCTTGTATGATTTATTGGTTGGCCAGTGGGGTAAAACCAAAGTCCTCTCTGTTTGGCTGCTTTGGTGTGCAAAGGACCCCAGCCTTGGGCTGTAATTGCCCTGCTCTAAGCAATTTGTCCTGAATTGGTACTCTCAGAAGTGTCCCACCAAAGGCAGCATCGTTACAGTATTATACGATATACCAGTGATTTGAGAAAATCACTGAAACAGGAAGATCAAACAGTGTGTTGTATAACATATTTATTAGTATGCCCTATGTGTATATGTTTTGGTATGTTTATGTACATATATGTTAAATAAAACAGGTCTCAAAATGAGACTACATGCAGTGATGTGATGTACTAGCACCTGTCCCCAGGTGTTCAGTTAGCAGTAATATGAGTTTTAGGCCCATTTTGGAAAATATTCTAGAAGATCCACATGGAAAAACTATCTGACTGAGAAACAACAGTGGGAGTTAAGATCAACTCAAGACTGAAACAGTGAAGGTGGGACAGCTGCAGTTGGACCCTCATGCCCTGAATTAGGCCTGCTCTATTTGCCTAGGTGACTACAGACCCAGACCCTTGGATCTTAAGAACAATGAACAATCCTCCCAACACTTGCACTCCCCCTTTCCTGGGAAATGTTGGATAAAAAGCCTCACCAATTTGCATAGGTGACCACAGACCCAAACCCTTGGATCTGAGAACAATGAAAAAGCATTCAGTTTTCTTACAAGAAGACTTTTAATAAAAATAGAAGTAAATAGAAATAAAGAAATCCCCCCTGTAAAATCAGGATGGTAGATATCTTACAGGGTAATTAGTTTCAAAAACATAGAGAACCCCTCTAGGCAAAACTTTAAGTTACAAAAAAGATACACAGACAGAAATAGTTATTCTATTCAGCACAATTCTTTTCTCAGCCATTTAAAGAAATCATAATCTAACACATACCTAGCTAGATTACTAACTAAAAGTTCTAAGACTCCATTCCTGGTCTATCCCCGGTAAAGACCAGCATATAGACAGACACAGACCCTTTGTTTCTCTCCCTCCTCCCAGCTTTTGAAAGTATCTTGTCTCCTCATTGGTCATTTTGGTCAGGTGCCAGCGAGGTTACCTTTAGCTTCTTAACCCTTTACAGGTGAGAGGAGCTTTCCCCTGGCCAGGAGGGATTTCAAAGGGGTTTACCGTTCCCTTTATATTTATGACAGTTGTCCTTGTATAACTATTTAGGTTTGGGGGGCTGATGTTTTAACAATACAGTTATACCAGCATAAGCTCTTCTGTGGACACGGTTATACTGGTTTAACTTATTTCACTTCTTGAACTGGAATAAGCTATACTGGTTTAAGCACTTTTATACCGGTATAAATGCATCCACACTATAGGGGTATAGTTTGTAGCAGACTATTAATTTATACTTGTATAAACTAGGCACGATGGTATAACTGAAGTGTCAAAACTTTTTAGTGCAGACAAGTCCATAGCGTTCTGAAAAAGGAAGTATGTAATTTCAGCAGTCTATAAATCCTGGTAAACCCCAGAAGGGACACTTATCCAGAGTGAAGACCCTGAGAAAGCATCTGCAGACCTAACAGTAGGAGGGAAAAATCCATGTAGCCTCCAGGTGTGCCTTATGGGTTACAGAGAAACATCTTTATGACATCAGCACTTCCCCCTCCTACTCACGAGGGGAAACAGGAACTCTTAGCCTTTCCCAGGAACATAAAGACCCCTCTCCATTAGGGACAGCGAATCCTTCCATAGGGAGCAACTCACACCCTGCAGCCACCTCCTCTCAGAGTCACTGAGAACCTGCACCCAACAGGTGTTAACCACTGGACCCAAAGGGCCCATAGCTAGTATGTAACCCTTCATCAAGGAGGAGTGGAGGGATACAGGGCTGGGCAGGAGCCTTGAGACCATTAGCAAACACATTCAGGGTGGGTAAAGGGGACCGATGAGGTGTGCGGGTCAGGGGGCTAGGGCACTGCTGGTTGATGGGGACCTACGACAGAACCCTATTGTGGGTGATGGCTCTTTGGAGGCGCCTGGCGCATGGATATACACTGGGTGGGTCAGCAGGCCAGGAAGTTCGGTTCTAGAAGTAGCGGGCGGAGGGATACCCGTAGTTCGAAAGCTTATCGCTCTCCCTCTCTCGGCGGGCCAAGCCGCGGGAGCAGGCGCGCTGCCGCGCCCCATCGATGTTTGAGGAGCCCTCTGGGCCTGTCCCCGCTTAGCTGTGGGCCGACCAGCCCCGCCTCAGCGTTGCCGTGGAGACGGGACGCCGTGCTCCGCCCAGAAGTGAACAGAGGTGGCGTAAGAGATCCTAGGGCAGCCGCCGCCCGCCATGGAGTCGAGCAAGGGTGAGCGAGCTTGGAGAGGAAGAGCCGGGACAACAGCCGTGGAAGAGGGGACGCGGGGGGCGGGCAAGTGGTGGAGTGCCTGGGGGCGCTGGGGAGTGACCTGGCCGGGGGGCTGGCAGAGGTGAAGTGGTGGGGTGGCTGGGGGCTCTGGGGAGTGATGGGGTTGGGGGCTGGCAGAGGTGCAGTGGTGGGGGCGCTGGGGGCGCTGGGGAGTGATGGGGTTGGGGGCTGGCAGAGGTGGGGGGGCTGGGGGCGCTGGGGAGTGATGGGGTTGGGGGCTGGCAGAGGTGGGGGGGCTGGGGGCGCTGGGGAGTGATGGGGTTGGGGGCTGGCAGAGGTGAAGTGGTGGGGTGGCTGGGGAGTGATGGGGTTGGGGGCTGGCAGAGGTGAAGTGGTGGGGTGGCTGGGGAGTGATGGGGTTGGGGGCTGGCAGAGGTGAAGTGGTGGGGTGGCTGGGGGTGCTGGGGAGTGATGGGGTTGGGGGCTGGCAGAGGTGAAGTGTTGGGGTGGCTGGGGGTGCTGGGGAGTGATGGGGTTGGGGGCTGGCAGAGGTGAAGTGGTGGGGTGGTTGGGGGGCTGGCAGAGGTGAAGTGGTGGGGTGGCTGGGGGCGCTGGGGAGTGATGGGGTTGGGGGCTGGCAGAGGTGAAGTGGTGGGGTGGCTGGGGAGTGATGGGGTTGGGGGGCTGGCAGAGGTGAAGTGGTGGGGTGGCTGGGGGCGCTGGGGAGTGATGGGGTTGGGGGCTGGCAGAGGTGAAGTGGTGGGGTGGCTGGGGAGTGATGGGGTTGGGGGGCTGGCAGAGGTGAAGTGGTGGGGTGGCTGGGGGTGCTGGGGAGTGACAGGGAGGCTCATAGAGGTGAAGTAGGGGGATGGCTCAGGGCACTGGGGAGTTACCGGCGGGGGGGCTGGCAGAGGTGAAATAATGGGGTAACAGGGTGCTGTGAGTGACCGGGGGGGGGGGGGGTCTGGCAGAGGTGAAGTAGTGAGATGGCAGGGAGTGCTGGGGAGTGACCCTGGAGAGAGGTAGGGGGTGGTAGCAAGGGGGTGGAGTAGTGGGATGGCAGAAGGTACTGGGGATCTGACCCTGGCAGAGAGAGGTGGGTGCTGGCTGTGATTGAAGTAGTGGGATGGCAGGGGTCCTGGGGATGTGATCCTGGAGAGAGGATGGGGGGGCTTGCAAGGGGTGCTGGGGAATGGCCCAGGAGGGTGCAGGGACTGTCGGGGTGAAGTAGTGGGGTGGTAGGGGGTGCTGGAGAGTGATTTGGAGAGAGGTGGAGGGGGCTGTCAGGGATGAAGTAGTGGGATGGCAGGGGCTGCTGAGGATTGACCCTGGAGAGAGGAGGGGAGTTGTAGAAAGGGATGGAGTAGTGGTATGGCAGGAGATACTGGGGATGTGACTCTGGTGGAGAGAGGAGGGTGCTGGCGGTGGTTGAAGTAGTGGGATGGCAGTTTGCACTGGGGATGTGACCCCTGAGAGAGAAAAGGGTGCTGGTGGGGGGTGAGGTAGTGGGGTGGCAGAGGGCACTGGGGATGTGAGGACGGTGTGTTTGTGTGTGTAAAAGAAGTGAGAGAAGGAACATTGGCATTGAAACTCTTTAAAGAGGCCTCGGTCACTGGAGGTCTATCTTTCAATGCTTAAATGAGCCAGAGAATTCAAAATGGAGCCTGGTGACAGGTTGGTGTAAATCCTATAGTAAACCCCCAGTTCAGAGCCTTTCAGCGACATTGGATTCATGCATTCCAGGGAGTTAAAAATCTTCTTGTTTATTTTTCTACATAGAACAGGGACAGAAATAATAATTCATACTTGTAAAAATAATGTACTTGATCATAGGTGAAGACTTTGGGTTCTGTGAGTGGAGCCTCTCAAGTTTAAAAAAACATTTAAATTATTTGTGGAGCATTGTTACTGTATAGTCTGAAAAAGGACATTGTAATATTTTTCTCTCTCGTTTTAATCTTTTTCTTTGTTGCAATTTTGTGAAAATGGTGGAGTTTTGGCCTGATATTTGGTCTGCAAACAGCATATAAATATTATGAGTGAAATCCTGCCCCTTTAAGGTCAGTGGGAGCTTTGCCAATGGGAGTTTTGCAGTGAAGCGAGGATTTCACTCCATGTTTGTTATAACTACATAAGCATATGTTGTAACTATGTGTCGGTTTGAATGGTGAGGCACAAACTGCATTTCCACTATGTAAGTTGTGTAATTTTCCACATTGTTTTGTTAATTAATAAAATATTTCTATTAGAATATTGCTCTTCTTAGAATGTATTTTAGATATATTAGTGGAAAGAATGCTGCTATCCACCTGTTTCAAAAGGTCACGAGTATACGGAATTTTAATAATTTACATGATTTAAAAAAACAATTCAAAGTGTTGACTGATCTTGTTTGTTGTATATCTATACCATCACAATAGTGTTCATAACATGTGTCGGTTGTCTGATTTATTAAATAAGCCACCTACTGTGGCAGCCATATAGCAGCAACATGCAAATTGGCTGTCCAGGCACCAAATGTGTTTGCCCACCGTTTACCACTGTGATGAAGATTTGGCCATCACAAATATTTTTGTCTTGGTTGAGTAGAATTTCAAAGTCGGACTGTAGAATGCCTGTTAGTCCTGTCTAACTGTCCACACGTTGAGATAATTGATGGTAGAAAGGTGAAGTGCGCCCCTGATAAATCTGTTGCTTGTTCTGTTTGTTAGAAAACACAAGACCTCCTTTTTCTGTTCCCTAGTCAATAATATAACTGAGTTTTTATGTAGTCATTCATACATACTGATTCCCAAACATTTTGGAGTGTTAACGTGTTAACCCAACCACAGAGATTAACCAACAGCAGGACAAGAGAGAAATTGAAGTACCCTGTAGGCAAGGGAGAAAAGATACACTTTCGGTTGAGATTTGAAATTAGATGGAGAATCAGTTAGACAGTGTTAGGACAGTCTGTACCAGATGGAAGAAGCTGCAGATGAGAAGGTTGGGTGGGGACCAGAAAGTCTAATGGGATAGTGAGAAGGCTAATGGTAAATGAGTGGACAGACACCAGATCTGTGAGCTCAGCTGAATAAAGCCCAAGCTTAAAGAAGGAGGTGCCAGTTTTGAAAAGGATCCTGAAATAAATGGGGAGCCAGTTGAATTGTGTGGGGTGATGTGATCATGCTTCTGTCTTCTCACTTGTAGGAAGAAGTGTTTCTCTCATGCTGGAATTTGTGTTGCTAGGAATTGCTGGGGGAGGGGGCCTTCGAGGGAGGCAAGAAAATATAGAAGGGACTGGCAACAGTCAGAGGGAGGAGTGTAGCATAGATGAGGATTTCAACAGAGGTGGCAGTGAGGCACTTGCCTACATGGATAGTGGTACAGAGAGGTTATGTTAGATTTGCAGACCCAGGAGTTGTTGGAGGAAATGAAATATGGAATTCTGACCCTGTTGAAGTCAATGGGCATTTAGCCATTAATATCAATGGAGCCAGGATTTCATCCACAGAGCTTGAAAGGCAAAGTTGACACTACAGTTACAGACAGTGCAAACAAATTGGAAGTCAGAGTTAAGAAAGGTGGTAGAGGCGATGGAGTTATACTGACTTCTCATTGGTTTTTCAAATTAGAGTTATATAGTCCAAATGAAGAAAATATTCTCTCTACAGCTGCAGAAGAGGTTACTGCAAACAAAAAACGTTTGCCACTTCAACAAACACTGTGTCTAAGTAGTTGACAAACAGCTCTATTAAATCACTACTTTAGTTTTCTTTATGATTTTAGCAGCAAATATACAACTTTGCAATAATTATTGTGGATGTGAAAAGTGAATGATGATTGGGTGCCAGAGTTGTAATAATTTCTGCAGTTCAGTGTCTCTCCACAATTCTGATACACATGGGCTACTCCATTCCTGTCTGCAGTTTCCAGAGGCAGTTCAAAGTTGTAGCACAGCCTGTGCTAATCTTATCCCCTTTGCTGGCTTGTTGCCAGACCTTCTGCCTCTGCAGCAGCAAAGTGGCAGTTCACTTTGCTCCTGACTTTTCTTTTCCATCTTACTATTTAAACTATTTTGTGTGTATGTTTGACAGTAGTGAGCTGCCTTTATTTCTTCTCCCTGTCTTGGATTGGGTATCAGGTAGTGGGGTATGGACTCAGCACTGCAGTGCCTACCTACCAGACGCTTTTGCTACCCCCACAGCCCTCTTACCTCCGGAAGAGCTGTTGCAGAAACACCAACATGAATCCAAGTGGTGCTCTATCTATGAAACAGCTTTTACAGGCTCTTCAGAGGGTGAATTGTGCCCTGCCTGTTCTCAGTCAGCCAGTCCTTGCATTGATAGGCATGGTCCACTATCAGTGCCAAACATTTTTTGTTGGCCCTCAAGGTCTTTACCAAGTTTCTGGTGGCAATATCAGCCAGACTCGGATGTGTATCTCTTCCTGATGACATCTTCATCAGCGCTCTGACCCAGGCAGTGTCACACCGTGCCACAGTCAGGATGCTGGATCTGCTTCAAGCACACAGATTTGTGATAAACACCAAGAAGAGCTCTTTAACTCTCTTAACAAAGACAGTTCATGTGGTAGTGGAAATAGTCACATGTGTTGCAATGGTCTACGCATCACTGGATATATTCCACCAGATCCAGAACCTAATATCCATGTTGGTAAAGTATGCGAGGCTGACCCTAGCTCAAGTCTATTTCTACTGAGCCTCCTGGTTTTGTCTATAGGACTCACCCCATGGGTGAGGTCCCATATCAGGTGCCTTCGGGCCTGTCTCCTGAAAGTATGGAACCGTTCCCCAGAACACTTGCAGGATCAGGTACTGGTTCTGAACTCTCTAACATGATGGACAAACACATAAAATGTCTGCAAGGGTCTTCCCATATGCCTGTTAGACCCACAGGTACTCACAGTTGATGCCAGCCTAATGGGATGGGGAGCGCATCTTGGGCACAGGAATGTGCAAGGCACCTGGAAATCCAAGGAAAGGAGTCTGAGCATCAACC